CCCCCCCCCCCGTACTTAGGAACAAAAGCCAGCGCACGTAAAAGACGTGCTTAACATAGCGACGGTAATTTCACTTTACAATCGTCATTGCGCAACGCGTGACTATGACACGGCTGACATATTGCGTTTTTAGGTTGCTTCGCGCGTGAAAAACTCCGTCGGTGGAAATTCCTCGCTATCCGTTTGAACCGTGGGAAACAAAGTTACCGCTGTTAAAAACACAGGAGCTTCCTGCGACTTTTAAATAGCTCCATTTTCGAGAATGGCATAGAGATAAAAATCTCTGGTAGTAAACGAGTCGGAGAGAGACCAGAAAAAAAAAAAAAATAAAAACACGAAAAAGAGAAAAGAACAGGAATTTTCGCGAGCACGATTTCGCCGGTGTTTTCGAGTAAGGTAATGTTAAACAGCTTTGACGAAACAACGCGCAACAACCTTTTTCAAAGATTGCCTAATTGAGACTCGTCGTCGAAACGGGATTTTTGCACGAGAGCTGTGTCAAATGGAATTCTAGATGGATTGCACGATTGTAAGGAGGATATCGTTGATCTTGAACTCGTTGTGGATGGACATTTAACGCTTGGAAGTTGGAAAATTTCTTTTACTAAAGAAGGGGGGAGAGAAGGGTGAAAAAGTCGCAGAATTAAAGGAATTATTTTACGTAATGCTAGTTAATTTCCTTCTTTTATAACGTGGATAATGATGCGTTTGATGTGTCTTTTCGTTTACAGATCCTTTAATTCTTATGTTTTGAGTTTATGTAGACAATGTCGATACGTGATACTTTCCTATGGATGGATGGAATCTTCGTTTGTGGGATCGAAAAGTTTGAAAAATGATATAAATTGGCACTTGATGAAATAGATTTAATTTTTTCGTAATTTTCCGCTTCTCATTCGATTTCGAAATTTTTATAATCTCCTACATCACAACAATTGTAATTACAAACGCAACGAATTTACAAACAATGAAATCACCCGAAAATCAATATATAGATTGGTGTGTTCGATCCGACGGATTTGTAAATTAAAAAAAAAAAAGAAAAAATTGGGGTTTGAATAATCACGAGTGGCTATTGTGCTCGGCCGGTAGTTAATATTATTCAAATACAGAATTACGCGAGAAATTACGAGGGCCGTTATTCGAATAAAAATTCATTTCGCCGTGGATGTTTATAACAACTACGGGCGTTCTCGTTGTAACGCGTAAAAATAGAGAGCCATAACCGAAGAGAAATGATGCCATTTTTCACCGTGGGCCACCGTGTCCCGCAATCCAGTCGAACGATCGATCATCGGTGCAATGAAAAAATTGCGCAGAAACTGGTACAAGCGTGTCTACACAGGCTGGATGACGATGATCGCGAGAGAGTGTGTGTACATAATCCGGCGGAAATCGTATGAAAAAAAGCCGGCGAGATCTGTGAAAATGAAATTTTTCAGGCGTCGACGCGCCGGCAAAAAGGGTACTCGAAAAACCCATTTGAAATTGTTCATGAAACAAACGCTTGTCCTCTCTGCTTGACTGTCAAATTTCGTCGGCGCCTGTCCTGCTGTCAATTTTTTCTATTATTAAATTTGGTTTTATTGGCGGGCAAAGGTGAAATTTCGAGAGCCAGCGGCTCACGGAATTATTCGGGCCACGGTGAAATTAATGAAATTTCTGAATATTTTATGCAACGCGCGCAATTACACTATATTAGAGTTTTCGTACATTTGTTTATTTAAATTGCACGGCAGAAAGTATTCTGAAATATGGAAAATGCGTGTCCAAACATCCAGTGCGTGGAACAACTTTCTACAAAAGTTCAAACATTTCGCGCACGCAAAGCGAATTCTCCACGAGAATTTCAGCATTTGTATACTTGAACACATTTCGTATGTAAAGTAATTTTCTACGAGAGTTTCTACTTGTAAATTACACTTTCAAAAATGTGGCTTTGCATAAAAGTGTATATTTATATAAAGTTCTTACAAAACATATTTCCGTGACACTGTGATTCCCTTGTTTGTTCAAACATCTGAAAACTGCTGTAATAACTATAAATGAGCTTTTGCATCCCGTTGAAAACCTTGTTATAATGGTGCACAGTTACGTGTTAGATCAATTAGAAAAATTCTATAATTTTAAAATAGTCCTGTGCGATTATCCTAACCATCAACTATGCACGTATGCATACATACATATATTGAGAAAAACTCAAGAAGATTGTATATAGATTTAATCAACATTTAATACCTGTCTTGATTAAATATTTATTTATTACTTACTTGTATAATTTATTATACACAACACAAATTTTCAAGCAGATCTATTAAGAATTAAATTTCCCATAAATTCATGAAACTTCGCAGTTCAATGATCATCATTTATGCCACCTTACTGCAACAAATGAACTGTATATATATATTTATTAAGATTTCGTGCGTGGAAACTATGCTTTTAAAGTGTACAGCCTTGTCTGGAACGGTGCGAGAGAATGCACGCGCGGTTGAAAACTTGGACGTGTAACGTAACTTCTCGCGTAAATAAAACACACCTGAGATACTCGATACATCATCGTAGAACAACGTGGAACAGGATAGCGATAGTGAAATAGCGAAAGAACGAGGAAAGTAGGGAATCGATATCGACGATATCCACGCGAGTGGTGACGCGATATCGAAGAGTCTCTCACAGCGTTATATGAATTATGATAGCGCTAATTATGGCCGGTGCATGGCAAGTCGATATCGCAGATATCTGAGGGTTGAAATCGACGATTTCGCGGCCAAGTAAATTGATATCGATCACTCTGAAATCAGAGGATCTTGTTAGTTGATACGATGATTTGAAGACCACCACCGTGGACGTTGGTGGTGATTTCGTACGAAAACTTTGCCCAATACGTGATCACTATAATACGTTCGATCGAACGGGGATAAAAACTCTTCAAAACTCTTCAATGATGAATTGACAAAGTTTCGTGCGAATTAAGGATATACTTAATAAAATAAATAACATCTTAACACCTTCAATAATATATTTAAACGTTCAGAATAGAAATAAATCTGGAGACGTACATGTGAGGATAAGTCAATATCTATAACCCTGAAGCTAAAAAAGAATCGAAGTCAATAACTATTTCAGCACTTTGACAACGTCCGAATGTGGCTTGGAGCGTGTCTCCCCCTCCTAGTTATGCATAATCGATATTTATGATTTCGTTTCTGGATCGTGTCTTGGATAAGTTTTGAAGAATAGAGGTAATTACGGTGTGACGAGTCGAATACTGGAGATAGTTTTCAGAAGCTACGTTCCATCGGAAGATATTATTAGATATAAGTTTCCAAGATACGGCTCAATTTTATTAATACTGTAATATAATCGATTCGTGAAATATTCACAACGATTATTTCCAATCTTTACGGTTCTAATCCTTTGGCTAATTTTCTTAAGATATCTTAACAGAAGTTCTTTTAATATATTATTTAATAATTAATAATTAGTATTGAGGCGAATAAATTACAAGTGTAATATCTTTCCTTTAAACTCGAGGATGAAGTAACAACGAATATTCGGCAATGACAAAAATGCAACAAGTTGCACAAGCTAATATATCGAAATAAAGTTTATATTATACACAAACATTTAAAAATCCGAAATTTAGTTGAAATATTCGCTGATTTATAATTATTAATTTTCAAAATAAAATATGAACTTAATATAGATAAAATAATGATTAATGTTAACAAACGTAGTAAAAAAATTATTAATGACATTATAAAATTCAGTGGATGAGAACAGATCTCCGTTTAAGTTTAACTGCTTCTAATAAACATTAT